GCCACCAAAGCGCTTTACATATTGCCTCACATTCACCCATTCATACGCTCATTCACACACCGACGGCGGTGTCAGCCATGCAAGGCGCCAGCCAGCTCGTCGGGAGCAGCTGGGGTTAGGTGTCTTGCTCATGGACACCTCGACACTTGGCCAGGTGGAACCGAGGATTGAACCACCAACCTTTCGGTTCGTAGACAACCCACATGAACCACTGAGCCACTGCCGCCCCATTTTCTCCTTCAAACTTTCCTGTAGCACAAAGAGTAGAACGGTCGTGGGTTCGATTCCCAGGGAAAGCAAGAACTGATAAGAATGTAAATGTACCTTGAAATGCAATAAGTGCTTTGGATAAAAACGTCTGCCAAATGAGTACATTTAAAACTGCGGTGAACCAAAAACACGGTTTGAAATCGCTGGTGTTTCTGACGACACAAACTACCTTGTAACCAATCAGGTCAACTACTAAGATGAAGGCGGGGCTAATTTGCATATTCATGACACTGCATTTACTAAATGAGGCAAGGGTGTAGAGTTAGCTATTTTAAGATATGAAGACATTTTTTTCTAAGGAAAAAAACTTTGAAATTATGTCATTTATTTTGGTGATCAAAGGTGAGTTTTAAGGGATAAAATGATCGACTACAGGGAGACTTTAATGTTTTTGAAAGAATTGTCTTATGCTCACCAAACTTGCATCTATTAGATGGAAAATGCCGTGAAACAGTAATATTTTAAATAGTAAAATATTAGTATTTAAAATAAGTAAATACTAAGTAAATACTAGAAGTAATAACAGAAATAATAGAAGTAATAAAACAGAAATAACTCAGAAAAAACTTTTGTACCTAAAGGGTGCATATTGGTACCAATATGCACCCTTTAGGTACAAAAGTGTACCTTTTTTTGCTGAGCAATTTAAAACAACTGTTTTCAATTTTAATATATTTTAAAATGTAATTTATTCATGTGATGCATGTGATCATTACTACTCCATCCTTCAGTGTCATATATATATATATATATATATATATATATGAAGTAATATTTTTATTCAGCAAGGACACATTAAACTGATTCAAGTGACAGTGAAGACATTTATAATGTCACAAAAGATTTATGTTTCAAATAAATGCTGTTCTTTTGGTACTTTCTATATCTTAGAATCCTAAAAAAAAAAAGAAATGCGTTGATGAGAAATAAATTACATTTTAAAATAAATTTAACTAGAAAACATAAAATTTGTCAATATTGCCTTATTTTACTGTATTTTTCAATTAAATAAATGCAGCCTTGGTAAACATAAGTAAACATAATACTTCTTTCAAAAACATTTAACATGTTAATTATTTCAAGCGTTTGACCCCTGGTGTATATATTATATTTAATAAGATAATGTTAAATTTCTAATATTATAAAATTAAACAAAATGCTAATTATATATTAACTTTTTGATCAATTAATGAGTAATAGATGTTACTTAAAATAGATGTTACATGGGAATAATAATAATAATACATAATAATTTGTATACCATTCAAACTTTATTATTCCCTAACCCTAAACCCCCACAAGCCCAAGGATTTTGGATATTACAATCTTTGTGGGTAATGTAACGTTACATTACCCACAAAGATTGCAATATCCAAAATCCTTGGGCTTGTGGGGGTTTAGGGTTTAGGGCATATTCAGGCATTCCTATATAGGGAATGCCTGAATATGTCAATATATATTCTCAACTGCAAAATGTCATTCTAATGCCAATTGAAATGCCTCAGTGTTTTTGAGTCCTCTGTAATGACAAGTATGAACATGGTGTTACAGAATAGGCACTGGCTCTTTAAGACTACCATGTCAGTAGTAATTGGCCTATTCCAACGTCAGCCTCCCTTGGGCTCTTGGCAGGGGCTTGTAGGGCAGAGGACCTACAGCCCATGTGGGTTATAATAGGACATTGTGGATCTGTGTATCCCCAGAGACCCCAGGCAGACCGGACTACCTTAATAGAGTTCACTTTTCTCTCCAGCCAACCCTTACTCACACCTGACAAAGGAGAAACGACCTAGAAGGAGAGTTACTTAAATACTAAAATACAATGAAAGCACACTAAATAGCCACATGTATGGAAACACTGGTCTAATGAACAAGTTTGACTTTTCCAATTATTCTGTGGAGACACATCTTTATGTTATGCCATACACTGAGATTTTGGAGAATTGACAGTTTCGGAACAGTAGCTACACAAATCAAAATCAAATAGGACATTTTAGGGTAAAATCATTAAATAAATGCCCAGCTACATAAAACAGCAGCATCTGAGAGAGAATAGCATAGCCTTTAAAATACTGACAATCACTGTTGCTCATTATGAGTTAAGTAAAAAAAAAAAATTTTTTTTTTCATCCTCTAGAATCTAGAATGATCTTCCACTGCTTTCCATTGTGTAATGAACCCTTCACATTTGATAATCAGACCCAGACCCTTTAGCTAACCTTGCTTTGTCATATAATGTTACTTTTTTAAAAGATGGATCATTTTTTTATGTGGCGGGGGAGGGGGTTGCACTACATGATTCCATCTTGGTAGACAAAGGTTTTTTAAATATTGGCATCTAAATACTTTCCCCTAAGAAATTAATAATAATAATGCCAAACTACTTTTGTTATTTCATTCTTTAAATTGAGATTTTTTTTATTCAAAATAATATCAGGACAGTTTTGTTTTTACTTTATGCATCCAAAATATATCGAAATAAAATATATTTCAGAACTTACAAATATGAAGATGTGTATTTTTTTACAATTTTTTATGCATTTTTAATACATTGATAAAGTGAGAGAAAAAAGGAAATGATTATCACGTTGATTCTTGCACTAAGCAACCACCCAAAACCCTGACATGCTAAAAACAAACATTCAGACCTCTGTAGCAACAACATAGCAACACCCTGGCAACCAGCCACAACACTTTGGCATTGTGGCGGTGAGCACATCTTTCATATTTTATCAACAAACTATTTACCATTCATCACATGTGTGATCTACATGTCCATTACCTCAAGCTACACCAGATAATGGAAGTTGTCAAAGTGAAGAAAGATGCAATTAACTTTTCATCTGATGGCCTGCATGTCTCACTTCATAAATATCAAGAAGTCTGCCATGATAAAAAGTCTAAGTCAAAAATTCCGACACACGACATTAATCTAAAAATGTCTCAAATGTATGAGAGGTGCCTCTAGTTGCTGTAGTACATCTTTCATTATTTATTCATTATCGTATTGACTGAAAGGCATCCTGAGAGAGAGGGCTTGAGACAATGCATCGGAGAACACCCCTTCGCCTCTCCATTGCCCCTTTTTAAATATGTTTAGGGGAAAAAAAGTGGGCCTAAAGATAACAGGATGGATCTACCTTAATGTTATGGCCAGCAAGTGTTTCGGAATTCATTACCCTGGGGTTACGAGTCATCATAAGACAAAGCCCTGGCCAAATATCGACCTGCGCAGAGAGGTTACAAATTACAGCATAACTACTGAACAAACCCAGAGAGACACTGGCTTTCCGCTGGCTTTCCTCATTTAGACGATAGACTGAAGAATTTGAAGATGGCAGATGTAACTGCTAACACCATTTTGCTACAAATTGAGCTTGGTTCCTGAACTGATAAATACTGCAGTCCAACTATGAAGTAAAATGCATTGAAATCCTAAATGATCAGCCTGAAAAAAAGTCCATGTGGGATTAATTAGCAAACCGGAAAACAGCCCTGTTCCTGTGCTCTGAGCTCTGGTGTTACCGGTGCCCCTTAACACATCTTTGAACAGAGTCGAGGATCCTTGTACACAACATCTCCACCAAGTTAGCCTGATCAATCCAAACATCTCCAATGACCGTGGTTGCACATTGAGAAGTGAGCTGATTGTTCAGGGGCCAAGGGGTTTCTTGCTATGCAACCAGGGTTATTTTTAGAAGCACTCTCTACACCTGATGGCTTAGGCTACCATTCTAACCACCAACATCTTTGACATAAAATACTAAAATGTGAACAATAAAAAGAGTTAGTTACAGCAACTGGTAAAGTTATAATTTTGTAATAGTGGACATATGACACATCTCTGGTAGATGTCAGAATATGCACACTGAATCATGTTTTCTGTGAACGAGTTTTTAAACAATAGTATTGTGAACCATGCTATAGGTACAAATACACTTTGAAATGATTCTAATAATGGTTTGAATGGATAGTTCACTCAAAAATTACGTTATTAATTACAGTACTCACCCTCATGTCGCTTCAAACCCGCACGACATTCGAGCTTTTTGTCCCTCCATTGACATTCTACGCAACTAGAAGCTACTTTAGCTTCGAAACGTCTGTAAAACTAATCCATTAATTGAATGGTTAAGTCCAAATTCTCTGAAGAGACTATCGCTTTATATGATGAACAGATTGAATTTAGGCTTTTATGAACATTGATCATTGAAAATAAACAGGCCCGAAAATAAACCTCTTGCGGAAGCTGAAATGTGCTGAGAATAAACATCATGTCACGCGAACATGCTCGAGCTTGTTTACCTCAACTGATGTGTGAGTTGATCAATGTTTATACGTGAATAAAAACCTAAATCTGTTCATCATATAAAGTGATTGAAAATTTGGACCATACTGCTCATTTCATATGGATTAGTTCTGATCTCTTTATGAACGTTTTGTAACATCAAATGTCAGCTGCTTAGATGTCTATGAAGGGACAGAAAGCTATCAGATTTCATTAAAACGATTATTATTAGTGATCCAAAGATGAACGAAAGTCTTCAGAACAACATGAGGGTGAGTAATTAATGACAGAACTTTAATTTTTGGGTGAACTATTCTTTCCAAAAACAAGAAAAAAAGACTAATGCTATATTTATAATAACAGATTATGTGTGGATAAACGGCACTGCATCGTGTAATACTTAAACACAAGTACATCCATTGTTAAATGTTAACAAAGTTACCTGAAGTCTGGATTCCGGTTGGGTTTGAGGCCATAGAAGCCAGCAGACAGTGTCAAGAGCCATGTGGGAATGAAATTCCCATTCTCACACTCTAAATACGGAGCTGACCAGTGAATCTGAGTTTTGTCGGTAATATAACTTTCTCCACTGCGCACAGACGCGTCAAAAGAGGCAAAATCTTGACTCAGCACACGTTTTTGGAGATGGGTCTTCCTTTTATTTTTATGCTCATGGTACCACTCTGTATCTGTCGTTCTGTTTTTCAACATATGGTGGGCAGTGCTGGATAAATCCTGGAGAATGATCTCTCCACCTGCCCGTGTGGCCTGAAGGTAAACAGGTGGCCCGTCTGGAGGGAACTCGGCGCTCAAGGTGATCACTGCTCGATGGATCTTGAGGTCTCCCTCAAGGATACTCCTGACCAGAGCGTGGTACCACTCCATATCGCGTCTGGGGCTCTGATCTCTGGACCTGTTCGTTTGCAGGATCATGTTGAGGAAGTTTGTGGCGTGGAGGACCGTGTCCAGGACGCTGCGCATGGAGTGATTCGCGTCTCCGCGCGTCCTTCCCCGCAACACCCCCAGCTCATATCTCCTGGAGCAGTTGGCGTGCTTTAAGGTGGAGGAATCCCCCGTGTGCAGAAACGCAGTCACCACTCGGGGTACCTGCTCCTCAATCTTTTGCGCTAAACCCGAATGGGGCTTCCGGAGGTCCGCTTGCCCGTTGCTGTGCGTATTATAAATTAGCAGCTTTCCTTTTAGGTCCCAATCCTGTTCCGCATGTCTATAATTTGATCCTAGAACAAATCCGACTTGCAAGAGTAACGATATCCAGATTATGGCCATATCCCTCAATCCCGCTCTTTTACCTCACCAGCTTCAGTTCACCAAATCTGATGCGAGAAATCACAGCTGGAATGGATCAAATCAGCACAGCATTTTCACCTGTGGATTTCCACGCATTTCTACCACTTGATTGCCGGCCTGAAGACATTTATTGTATCGGTAATCCCTTTCCCCTAAGGTGCATTGCTGTTGTTTGTGTAAGTGATGCTGGTTTGGTCTTGTATCTTCTTGAATGAGCGCAGCAGATGTGTAGGATCCCCGATGCTCACCTCCCAATATGATGCTGGACCACAACAGACGTGATCGAATGAGAGAAAAAAATCCTTTTTTTCGGAGGTAGGGAGTCAGTACTTCACACTTGGATGACAAACACACTCCGCCCTCTTTCCTTTACTCCAGTCTTAAAGCATGAGAACGGCAGAAACCATTTGCCACAACATCTAGTGATGCCCGATTCGCGAAGGGATCGTTTATTGAACCTGTTCGGATGTCGGATGTGTCGGGTTGCGAAGCGGCTGCATTGAATTACACTGTTCTAAAGAACCGATTCAGGGAAATGAGTCGGACTTCCCAACACTACTAACGTCCCGTCTTCTTCATCACCTTATAGGGTTTGGGAAAGTGCCCTTGATTGGTGTATGGCCATTTCTGCTGTCAGTCATTTGACGGAGGGCGTGTTTGTAAAACTAAAGGAGCTATCCAGTGCTGAAAGGGGGGAAAAAAAAGCAGGCACACATTGTAAAACCACGATAAATCATATTAAGGTTTCGGGTTTCGGCAGAAATAGATGCTCGATGGCCAGGATCACATTTATAAAGGCTCTGCTATAAATGTCAACTCAAAGCGGTTTGAAAGACGCATTGCAATGAGACAAGCGTTGCTAGGTTATTTAATTATGAGCTCGTATTGGGAGGAAACAATAAAAACGGAACGTCGTGGTTGTTCATCACAATAAACAGAACGCGTTCTTGTTTTCCGTCTGCGCTGTTTTGTTTGTCAATGACATGCGTCTGACGTCTTTCGCCGTTGTCTGTTAGCCTATTTCTATGCTTGTCTCGTTAAGACGCCCTCAACTGTTCAAAACGTGCTTTAAACCTCTGCGTTCGGTTTCATTCAGTTGAGCGTCTTTGGTAGCGTCGCGTCTCGTTGTAGCGTCTCACGCGAAGAGAGTCGCTTTTATTTATGCCGGGTCTTGAGATACTTGCGTGATTTCACATCACGTTGCGTTCCGTCTGCGCTTTATAATTTGGTCTTTGTATACATGCGTCAGACGGACCTTTGCGTCGCGTCTCGTTTTTACTTACAGCGCTGCGGTTTAAGACGCTGTATCAAGTTTTAAAGTTTCAAAACGCGTATGCGCTACGTTGCGTAAAAGCAAGAATGCGTCCTGTGTTGTTTTATATTCAAGCCAATGCTGTAATACCCCTCAAGCATTTATTCTTGAATTAAACATCTACAAGCTGAACAAAGCTGTTTGCTTCTAGACATCCAGTGCGCAGCACTGCTTGTCGCTCACTGGGGGGAATACTGCAGTGAAGCGAACAGCACAGGATGAATGCGTGCGATTGCGTGAGGATGTGGATCATGGTGCAATATGAGTCATCATCGCCGCACGAGCGCTTAATCCAGATCTGTAAACAATGAGATGTTTAGAGCGGAATCTCTCGTGCGTCAGGGGCGCAAATGACTCAAGCGTCTAAAGGAACTGAAATGTCACACATATATAAAAACAATCGGTGATGCCATCACTGATTGCAGAGGTACATGGGTCGAGCTTACCAAAGCTCCTAGTAGAAATTCATGACTGAATCATATGAGCATAAATGGACATATGTGCACATTAAACAAGATGACGATAATTTGGCGATGTTATAATATAGCCTGATCATACAGTACACTTATGTTATGAATTAGGAGACAGGGGATTGTGGTCATGTGGGAACTTGTCACAAGGGATATAGTAATTACACGTTTTTAGGTTGAAAGTCTTACAACATGCTTTATTTCTTTGGCAGTGTCATTAGATTATGGTTCTGAACACCTACATCACATTATTATAATTCGAAACAAAATGTGCAATATCATCTTACACTAAAAGAAACTGTAAAACTTCTAAGCTGTTGGGTAAATAAAGATTATATGCACTTGTTGTTTGAACATAAATGAACTATGCGGAAAGGTTCTCCTTATTTTTATTTCAAACTATTTGTTTGGTGTCTGTATTTTTGTATTAGCTGTTTGGTAATCAAATGTTTTGTATTTCATCATTTTAAATTCAGACTAAAAGCCAAACATCCCATAATATCCAATAAAACATATTTAAAATTCAGAGAGTACTTTTTAGATTATATTTCATATGACAACTTACTTCTTATGTGTGGAAGCATGTCTCTCTGTGTGTGTGTGTGTGTGTGTGTGTATATATATGTATATATTGTTTCCTGGCAATAATAGTGGGAATATTAATTGGATTTTTCTATATAAAAGCAAACAACCTTTAGTAACCTTTAAAAGTAAACCTACACCATGAAATATTCATTAAAGTAAAATGTGTGTTTGCATATTGGCTTGCAAATGCCTTTCAAATTTCTTGTATTGTTACAGATGTAGACTGTAGATTAAACAAGATGACGATAATCTGGCGATGTTATAATATAGCCTGATCATATAGTACACTTATGTTATGAATTAGGAGACAGGGGATTGTGGTCATGTGGGAACTTGTCACAAGGGATATAGTAATTACACGTTTTTAGGTCGAAAGTCTTACAACATGCGTTATTTCTTTGGCATTATTATAATTCGAAACAAAATGTGCAATATCATCTTACACTAAAAGAATATGTTCATATTCTGTTCAAAGAATAATCATTTGTTATTAACACTATGTTAATAACAAATGATTTTCAGGGGCTGTTGTGTGACCTGCTCAATAGTGGTGCTGTTGTTCAAAACTCGAGTGTCTGAGTCTCCCTTTCCCTTTGTTTCTTTGTCTTTTTTCAGGAGTTTATGGAATGTTATTCATATGCAGGCAGGAGGCAGGGAGAAGACAGGTGAGACCAGGGGTGACTGGAGAGTGTAGCCACTGGAGGGTTGTGTCAGACCCAGAACCTGATTACATATATTTGGCAGCCATGCTGGTAATGGACATATCCATTTGTGTAACATCTGCTTAATAAACAGTTTATATAATTGATTAAACGTGTACATTTTTAAACACATTTTTGAACTAAATATCCCATTTACTCACATCCCTCACAGCCCAATCAGTAAGGATCCAGTACCCCTTCAAGATACACCTTCAGGAGAGGCTGAGAGAACTGCCATCTCTAGGTCCCAAGGCAGACACAAAAGCTCAATGGCACCAGGTTTTAAATAAAACAGAAGAAAGCTTATTTTAAAAAATTGTGGGACATAAATACACAGAGGCTTCTCACAAGGGGAAAAGGCCAAAATTAAAAGACAACCTCCATTACCCGACTCCCAATCAAAACACTTGCGAAAACGGGTTCAAAAACAAAAATCATCCACCTCCCTAAAAATGATACCACAAATAAATGGTCAAGTTAACAAGTCAACTTAATGTCTCACATACACAAGAGTTTGCTGAAGCACACACAGCTTTTCAATTTTTACCTGACACTAGGCAAAGATACAACATACACAACAAGATAAACAACAATCACTAGGACCAGAAGATGATCAATGTGGAAAGCCTCAGTCTTTCTCCTCTGCCTAGAGTTCTCTGGGGCTGATTCCGAAATTACCCCCCATTCCCTCAAATAGTATTATTTGAGGGGACAGCCATTTGTAGTGGTGTCCGATACCATTGTGGACATTATTGAGTGCACTCATTCTATCCCGTATTGCACCACAATAATGGCAGTCCACATTCACTCGCTTGTTTTCATTCACTCCTTCAAGTGAACTTTATTAGTGGACTAACATAGAGAACAGTGATTGAGGGGTGTCCAAACTCCGTCCTGGAAGGCCACTGTCCTGCAGAGTTTAGTTCCAACTTGCCTCAACACACCTGCTTGTAAGTTTTTAGCATGCCTAATGACCTTCAACAGCTAATCAAGACCTTGATTGGTTGTTTCAGGTGTGTTTAATTGGGGTTGGAGCTAAACTCTGCAGGACAGTGGCCCTCCAGAACCAAGTTTGGACACCCCTTATAGGATTCAGGCTATGTTTACATGAAAACGATTCTGAAGAGAAAACGCAAAAGTGGCGTTGCGTCATCACTTTTTATTCTGCGTTTAGACGAGCGTTTTGTGTGGGAAATCCGCGTGCAAATGGTGACGCAAAAGTGTGTGAAATTCAATGTCGTATGCATACTAGGAGTGCATACTACAACAACACCAAGTCCACACGCCTGTGTACAACCTGCACTGTCGAGCAGACTTTGGCATTTTTACCGTTTACACGGGAACGCGGCGGTGGAGCGGTTTTAAGATTCACTCTGGAGGGTGGTTTCACTTTTTTGGATTTTAAAGCCTCAAAAACACCGTCGCCATGTAAATGAAAAGCATATCCGATAAAATATTTTTACGTTTTCACCCACGAGCGTTCTCGTGTAAACAGGGCCTCAGCCTGGGTTTCTTTGTACTCCACCTAACGACCTGGGACTGGAATCAGGTGGAACTCATGATCCTGTCAAGTGCATCGTAGGAGGAGCAACAGTTACAAACTCATTCCAAAAGGGAGTTATTCTCAATATCAATGCTCCCTGTTTCTGAAGTCCCTCAAACGCCTTGATTGTAGTCTTGAGGTTTCTTCTGGGAACAAATATCTCAAAATTTTCTTCATTTAAATAATTCCTGCCCAAGGCATACGCAAAATAAGGGACGAGGCCTGGTTGAGTTAGCGTTAGAAGTTTGTTGAAACTTGTGGCTATGGGGTGTGACATTTCTGAAACACTCTCAAAGGAATTGGCCATTAACAACACACTGATCCAACGAACCAATCGGAGCAGACTGCGCTTTTCTATCCTATTCTATTCTTTTCTATTTATTTTCTATCCTAGTTTTGAGCCTAGCTCAAAATCCTCGGTTTTTGTGGGCGTCTCCCATTGAAGACTTGGAAGTAAACGCCCACTGTTGTTTGTGGATAACAGTTTTGCATATTGTAATGAGTTTCATGACTTGTCAGTGCATGTGGAGGAAATTGTTTTGAAAACTTCCAATGCTGAAAAGTTGTAACTGGAATGATTCGCCCATACATGTTCGACCCAGAGTCCGATCCCGAATCGCAGGACAATGAACCAACAACACCTCAAATACAACGGATACTTCAGCCTGTGACAGCGTGGTAAGCTATTGTTAATTGTTTATGCTACTTCTAATGCATTTTATTGCTCGGTAGCTCGATCCGGTTTTGTCATCACGTGGTAGGCCTATGTTATTTAGCTATGCATGTTATAACATTCCCAGCTTTTTTGCACTGGTCAAGCTATATTTCAAAAGGGGGTAACTGTGTGCAATGCTCAATTGGGCTCAGATGAAAATATCTAAAATAAACTCTTCCACAAACAAGTGCAGTGTTTCTTTCTTCATATAGTTAAAGCTTTACTCATTCATTATCCCACATACCTGAAATGTCA